TTTTGCCCTACTTGGCTTGCATGTAATTTCGTGTTAAAAGAGAAGGAAAGGAGAAACCCTCTATGCTACACAACAGCTCATTATTATGAAGAAAAATTGCAAAGCTGAAATGCTGCTTAAAAAAAGAGCATAACCATTCCGCTTCATCCTGCTGGGTTAGTAAATGAATTATAAGTGATTGCTGTTAGGGTAGGAAAATGTAGATCTTTGAGGTAGGAGGGCTCTCAGGCTGATTCTGGAGGTTGTGAACCTTTCAGGAAACAATCATCTAAACTTGTAAGTAGGTCTCTTCTCACGGATAACCTGATACTCCTAAAAAGGCTCGTCTCCTGAATTACAGCCTGGCTCCTATGTACTGGATGAGAAGAATTTGTAGTCGCAGAATCACCCCAGCCTGTTTGGAAACCACATGGCAGTGCCACTGCCTCTGTTGTCTGCCTGCCGCAGCAGATCTTGGCCCAGCCAGGGCGTCCGGAAGCCCGCGGAGCCCTACAGTGCATCGGCCCTGGGCCTCATGGGTCACTGTGGGTCACGCACCCAGGACCTCACTCGGGATCTCCCTCAGCCAGCGAGGTTGGCTTTTCCCCTGCCTTCCTCCCGATTCTGCTGTGTTGCCAGCCAGACCCTGCTGAGGTCCCAAACCTGTAGTCGGGCCTTCCACCCAAGTCCTGTGCTCTGTCTCCTAGCGCTGGGTGCCCCGGGCAATGAATGCCACCTCTCCTGGGCTGGAGAGCCTGCTGGTCGGTCTGAGCCTGGCCTCCATCTCCGGTCCCCTCCCGGCCCCAGAAGTTGGTCCGCCGCTCCTGCCACGGGTGTCTCCCAGCGCATCTCTTCACTGCTCTGTTCCCTCTGGCTCTTTGGCCCTGTCGCTCAGTGTTGCACCTCTGTTCCTTCTCTCCAGTCCTCTGTCCTCAGTGGCAGGCGGCTTCTTGAAAAGTGGGAGTGAGGCCAGCTCTCCTTTGCTCTCATTTCCATCTCAGCTGCCTTGCAGAGTCTGTCACCCCCAGCTCTGTCCACTGCCCCTACCCACTCCAGTTCCTCTCAGTTCCAACTTCTGCTCCCAAAACAGACTGCTTGTCAGCTGGCAGGCAGGTCGGCAGACTGAGCCCCCTCCAAGGGAGCACGCAAGGCCCAGCCCGACTCAGGGCCACGGGCAGAGGGCAGTGACGCGGTGCGCCCGCAGGAGCAGAGCAGCGTGCCGGCTCGGAAATCAGCTCGGCCTCTGGAGGTCCAGGGCTCAGTGAGAGCCGGTCAGGGCCCGGACTGCTGCAGGCCACTTCGCAGCTCTGTGGACCAGAGGTGGGCACCGCAGTGTGCTGCTGTTTCAGGCCCTGGGGCCCTGGAGGCCTGGGTGCCTCTCGGCTGTCAGGACTCTCTAGAGCCTTCCTGATGGGTGCAGAGATTGCCAAACCTAGCGGACCACAGGTCCTTTTTGCTGTCTTCCAGAACATTTTCTTTCTTTGTTTTGGTACCGGGCATCAAACTCGGGACCCTGTGCTTTCAAAGGCAGGTGGTGGCACCACTGAGCTAAATCCTGAGCTCACCCAGAGCATTTTCTAGATCTGCTATTTCCAGATCACATTTTGGGAAATTGTATCTCATATTTGCATTTTTTCCATATAAAAATAGTAAAATTTAAACATTTCTATGAATAAAAGAAAAAAAATGAAAGTACCCCCTTAATGTGTCCTGTCAAAAATTCTCCAGACAACAGGTAAAGATGGAGACAATCCTCTGATTTACCTGCACCCAAGATTCTCTGGACATATTTCTAGAAAGAGCAACTCTTTAAAAAGATTGCACGAGCTTTTAGTTTCTATAGTGAGGAGGCAGTTTATTCTCTCATTTGTAGAGTAAAAAGTTCAGAGAAATGTTTTTTCCTCAAGAAAAAGATATATATATAGAAAAAAAGATAGATATATAGAAAATATATCTATCTTCCATATTGTGTTTTCTCCTAAGTAGCTAAAGAAAAGCATGGTTTAGGATAAAGATTATCCAGAAATAATTGAAGCAATGAAACCTGTTAAATGAACTCTTACAAATATACACATTGAGGTAGATTAGAAACAAAAACCAGACCTACTGTTTGAGCTGAGGTTATCCAGCCCCGTGCTGCCCTTCCCAAGTTTTCCTCAGATCCCAAAGGGATTGCAGAGAGGCCTGCACAGGCCTTCAGCCCAGCAGTTCAGTTTGAAAAGTACTGGTTCTGAGATACAGTGACCACCCACCAATGAGACTGAAGTCTTTGCATTCTACTCCGTTCAGTTTGGTGGTGTGACCAAACTCACAGGCTGTGTTAGCTCTCAGAGGTCATGCGTATTGTAGAGCATGGAACAAGGCTTTACACGTTTGGCTTTTACCTCTGGAAGATTTAGAAACGTACAGCCCCACCCACTGATGAGCAGCCTCTTGGCTGCCAGTTTTCACCTGGATGAACTGCCTGCCTCGGCTTCCTGCTCCAGCAGGCCACTGTGCTGGGGTCCTCCGCCTCCTGACGGGAACCTGTGTTTCATCGAGAACTGGCCCTAAACCCATGATGCTGGTGGGGTCAGGGAATGTGAGGTCACAGCGGCTGTGCTACGCTCCCCTGGGGGCAAGTTGGCAACAGCACTGGACCCTGTGCTTTAATGGCAGCTGAGGACCCATCCTCCCAATAACGCTTTCCACCCTGGTGACTTTTCTCATCTGGGACAAAATGCCTGACGGCCACAGTTTAGGAGAGGCCTATTTTGGCTCAGGGCTGGCTTGAGGGAAGGGCACGGCAGGAGAAAGCTGTTCACCTCAGGGCAGACAGGAAGCTGACGGGGAGGGAGGTGCACGCTTCCAGGCCACGCCCGGATGAGGATGAGGTTGCGT